TAGGAAAGACACTGAATTGTTGGAAAGGGTTCAGAGAAGGGTTACTAGAATGGTACCTGGGATGGAGGAGATGTCATACAAGGAGAGGCTGAAATCTCTCAAATTGTTGGGGGGGGGTCGGACTGAGGTGTTTAAGATTGTAAAGGGAATTGATAGTGTTGATACATCATCCTTTTTCATATTTAACAGTGAGAACATTAGGACTAGGGGACACAAATATAAATTTTGTCAAGGTAGGAGTCATCTTCAGTAAGACAGTTTCATTTTTCCAACAGGGTGGTTAGCCTTTGGTATGAGTTGCCTTCAGATGTTGTAGAGGCAGTAAATTTAATTGAGTTTAATGAAAAGCTTGATAAGTATATGAATGAATGATGATGGCTGGCTTTAAGATTTGTTTTGTTTTTAATTTAGTTTCCAGGATGGAACAGCGAGACGAACCAATAGGTCCCATGTTGTCCCAAAAAGTTATGCCATATCTTATGTTAAGCAGCAGCTTACATGTATACTCACTTCCTGCTGACAAACATTGATAAAGATAAAATTAATGAGGATTATTTCATGGGGTAGAGGTTCTAAGGAATACTTCTAATAAGTATACTAAAGATATATATATATATATAATGCTTTAGATGTATGCTGTCCTGACCACCAAGTTAAAACAAAATAAACAAAGCACTAATAAGACTTATAAAGCCTTTATAAGCCAATGGGTCAAAATTACTGTGTAGATAAGGAAAATACACCGGCAATTACATTTTCCTCTGACCTAAAACTAGGAGGTACTGCAGTGGGAGAATATTGTGGTGAACCATTAATTAAAAAGGTTCCCTTGTCTAAGCTTTGTTTAAAACTCAACAAATTAAATTACTCCCAAAGATTATAAAACTATTTCTAACTAAAATTAACGTAATTTGTGAGAAACATTTTGGTGATAATGATCATTGCTTTTGGTAACTTTTAAATTTAACTGAGATCAAAGTATGAAATTCAGCACGAATGTTCGAATTTTAAAAGAAATGAGAGAATTTTAACCCTGACAAAAAAAGCTGTAGAGTTGCCACAATGGTACCAGCCATGTTACTGTTATTATAATTTATATCAATTATCACCTTTTGTGACTTTTAATTTTTTTTTTATTATAAAAAGTAAAATTGAATTATTTATATTTGAAGCTGATGTCTTAAAATTGGTTTAACTTGGCCTTAAAAGTTAAATTAAAACCTAAAATTTCGAAAAATTTAACTTCGGATTTTACAGTTTTTAGCCAAAACGTTTAACTGCGATTGGTTTAAATTTCAATTTAAATGCAAAGGTTTACATTAATAATACATCTTTCATGAATTATACTAAATACTACATGTAATAAGTATTTACAAACATACGATCTCTCACGCTTTCCATTAGACTAGAGCAAACTACATGCTTCTATTATAACCAACAACGAACGACATACACACGAATATTCTTGTAGCCAGAAATAACTAAGTGATCATCAACCAATAAGTGTAAACAAGGTTTCATAAAGTACAGGCTAAAAACTTACTTCTGACAGAAATGTCTGTGCTGCTTTCTGAGCTCCTACGTGTAGTAAATATTCATAAACATAAAGGGCTAACCTGAAATTCAAAGAAAAACATACAAGTAATAAGACAAAAATGTAACGTTAAAACAACTATCCTCCCCTAGCATTACAACTAATGGTATCTACCCATATATATGACCTTGAAATTGAATTACACGAGAAACAGCTTATGTTTTACTATTATTTAACTTCCTTTTCCCAATTATTAGAATTACATGCATATCTAATTATTTTACAGCATACAACTTTTTTATAATATTCTGTGTTCGCTATAAATACATATTCGAACAGTACGTTTCAAGAAAACTGGTCATACTTTGGTTCACTGTATGGTAAGCAGTCGCTTCACTAAGACTATAACATTCAACACTTACTTTTCCCGGGCTTGGCTATCGGAAGGAACCGCTGAACCTTTTCCCTTTGCGTACATACTGAGGAACTGAACTATCACACACCTGTCAAGACATTCAAGATGATTTTGTCTTTGTTACTATAGAAACATCACTTCATCCTTCTGAGACATAAATGTGATTGGTCTCACTGCTTCTCGTGCTCCGAGTTCACTCTAAAGCGCTTGCCTACGTCATACTGTGAGTTTAACTGGAAGGCCTCATTGGTCGCACCGCACTGCGCGCCAGAAGTGTAGTAACCTCCACGCAATATTTATTAACCAGATACGACTAAAGTTAACTGAGATAAATCGTATTTTCATTAATCCAGCCATTTGTAACAAGTTCGAATAAACCTGTTAAAAAAGCTAGTGCATTTCATACTTAAAATATGTACAAAATATTATTGATTATTTGCAGTGTATGGGAGCCTAGCAATTCCTAGAAGAGCAGTTGTGAGAAACGGACGTTCTATTCTGCCCGTATATATATATATATATGACGTCTTTAGTTCCGTTAGCAGTGTTAGATCGTTGTTTGAATTTGGTTATATCTAAATTGTAATTACGTTTTCTATTCGATTATTTAGTAAAAGTAATGGTATACTATAAAGGAAACAAATAAGAAATAACTATTTTTTTATTTAAAGTAACTGGATAACTCGATTTTCAAGTGAAAAGAATTCATATGAACAGGTTAATTAAGAAGCTTAAAAGTTAAAAGTGCTTAGGCTTAATCGCGTCCTTTATTTAATTAATACGATACAATAGGGGTCACAATTGTACAGATAAGAATATGTACTATTTCATATTGCTTCGTTGTTTTGTCAATCGTTTTTAATTTTCACAATAACTACTTTAAAGTAATGGATTAAATGCTGACGAAGCATAAGAAACCAATATGCCTAACATTTATGAAATAAATCACGTAAACTGCGGGTGTGTGAAACAATAATTATATCTGAAATGCTATTTTATTGTTTACGTGATTTTTATCACAAATGTTTGGTGTTGGTTTATAATGCTGGAAACACTGTTTCTTAATAGATTCATCCAACTCGTCACCACTGCGTTAAGTCTAAAGAGTATTTATTTATTGATTGATTGATGGACGATGTACTGTTACAAATCTCGAATGATGAAGCAGCTGTTTTATTAGTTTATAATTACTAGAAATTTAGATAACTAAAACTTTAATAAGAACTGGTTGCAAGCTACACAAAATTTATACTTATCAAAAATATAAAGCATCTGACCTGGCTTAAACCACGTGTCATATTCGCAGAATGTTGAATTTCTGTTCAACCCCGTAAGAGCGTCTGCTATGGGTTAAACCATTTTACAATGGGTTAAACTAGAAGAAATCTCATCACAAACTTTGCTGCGTTTCATTTTTAGTAGTTCAGTAAGTGTGAAAATTAAGAATAGTTTTATGCATATTAATTACTGTAACATTAATAAAATATTCTAACCCTACTTATAAAAGTATAGTAACAAAAGAGGAAAAATAAATTATCTAGAATTATCAAATTAAACATTTCTCATTACAGAAATCGCTTATTAAAATTAAAATAATACATCTTTTAATAATATTTTTAAATTTCTGTCAGTTTATTTATGCATTTATCGCGACGTAATAAATGATCGTGGTGTTTATCTTCGCCTGCTCAACAAGAATTGTATAGAATATTTTTAAACTTAAGTTTTTAGGAAGTTATAAATAATTCATGCATTCTTCTTTTTGTTGTGTTGAACATCAAACTGCTGTGTGAAGACTATTCGTAGGATTTTATGTTGTTGTTGTTTTTTGTCAAATCTAAAATTTTATATCGATCTGATACTGCTTTTAGTCCCCTCCCCCCTCGATCGCAAGTATTGATCATCTTAGGTACTTCCTAAGCAAGACGCTTTCCAGGAAAAAATAATGATGCAACCACGTGTCATCCAAAAGATACCATCTTTTGCAAATTACGCGAAATTTAAAAAACTTTTAAGACGCTAATATTTTATCGGAAATTTATAAAGATGTCTTTTCGAAGCCATGGTTCATAATTTCGAGTTACGTATGTTGATTATTAAAAGTTTGGTATTGTGTTAGTGTTAAAAAGAATAAACAATTAAACATTGCTAAATGGATTAGTTCGAGTGAACTATGGTGAAAATTCAGCCTAACGTTGTTGGCCTAGGTAGTATTTTAGAAAATTCCATAGATGGCGCCACATAATTTTTTTAAAACAAATAAAGATGTTTTTTATATTTAAAATTTCTTATTTTCACTTCACTATATGATTGTCAATTATGCCAAGAGTACATTTTATATAACCGGCAAATTTACTATTGGACTCCTATATAAAACTATATATTCTCAAATGATAATTACTGGTAAGGAAAAGTAAATGTTTGTTAGTTCTTCGTCACCCGAAATCATTTTACTCACAATAACATGAACCTCGCGAGAGAAAGAATGAAATGTGATATTTGTACTCCCAAAGTGGAGTGTAAAACAATAAAAATGAATATAAAATAATGCGACACCAAAATATTACAAGGATTGTACAAGTTACAGAGAATAGAAATAACTTGATTCCTTCATTTAGACTCCGAAGAAAGCCGGTAAATAAAAAATGGTGTACCAATTTCTGCACTTCCACTGTCGTAGGAAAGTAATAATTCTACAAATAGGCAAACGATCTTCCACGACATGGAGTTGCTCACCTTGAATTCGTATGTCAATAGAAGTTAGGCCTAAGAAATAAGTATATAATTAGATATTGCCATCACCGTCGAAATGTTAAAGTTACTTTTTTTTGCCAGGTGGTTAGGGCGTTCAACTCACAATCTGAGGATCGCGAGATCGAATCCTCGTCCCACCAAACATGCTCACCCTTTCAGTCGTGGAGGCGTTATAATGTGACGGTCAATACCACTATTCGTTGGTAAAAGAGTAGCCCAAGAGTTGGCGGTGGGTGGTGATGACTAGCTGCCTTCCCTCTAGTCTTACACTGTTAAATTGGGGACGGCTAGCGCAGTTAGCCCGGTTGTAGCTTTGCGCGAAATCCATAACAAACAAACTTTTTTAGAATCTGTAATGATGAGATAGCCCCGTTTACTGTCAAACTGTTACAGTGTTGTTGTTGTTTTGTTTATTACATGTAATAATGAGACGGCCCTGCATACGGGTTACTAATTGGCTTGTTTACAATCTCTAACATTACCATAACATACCGATCGTTTTTGTCAGATTTTCTTTCCAGTAGTATTTAGTTCAGTATTATTTGTAAAATAACAAACCGGTTTCCTTGATGTTTCAGCACTTGTGTTAGATAGGCTTTATTACACTACAAACGAATGTGGAAAACTGCAAGAACGATAGAAAAACTTCTTCTCGTATAATGTTTATAAATAACTATGACAACCGTCGGAAGCTCAAAACCTGGTTATCAGTTTTGTTAAGACTCGTTTAATGTTTATAAATGACTATGACAACCGTCGGAAGCTCAAAACCTGGTTATCAGTTTTGTTAAGACTCGTTTAATGTTTATAAATGACTATGACAACCGTCGGAAGCTCAAAACCTGGTTATCAGTTTTGTTAAGACTCGTTTAATGTTTATAAATGACTATGACAACCGTCGGAAGTTCAAAACTTGGTTATCAGTTTTGTTAAGCCTCGTTTAATGTTTATAAATGACTATGACAACCGTCGGAAGATCAAAACCTCGTTATCAGTTTTGTCAAGACTCGTTTAATGTTTATAAATAACTATGACAACCGTCGAAAGCTCAAAACCTGGTTATCAGTTTTGTTAAGCCTCGTTTAATATTTATAAATGACTATAACAACCGTCGGAAGCTCAAAACCTGGTTATCAGTTTTGTTAAGACTCGTTTAATGTTTATAAATGACTATAACAACCGTCGGAAGCTCACACCTGGTTATCAGTTTTGATAAGATTTGTTTGGATCTGATATTTTAACATTGGAACCATAGACCGGTACAGATAGTTTACACTGAAACGACTACATCGACCCCTGTAGGAGAGTGCTGGAAGCTTGTCTTGTTATCGTTTATATACATACAATGCACCTCAATGTTAATCATGCATACGTAATACTTAACCAATCACAGAAACTGTTACGTGTGAATTGAGTCAACTAAGTAAGTGTTGTGTAATCTGAGTGGCTCAATATTTAAAGCAGTCTTGAAGGGAAGGAGCAAATTTTGTGACTTTGCAAAAATTAAAAATTACTCTGAAAGGCACAGAATTTGCCCAGTTTGTTAGGAAGCCGTGTATAATTTGTTTTTAAAAAGTCAGTATGCATACGTAAAATACAAATGTAGCCATATCTGGACATATAATACCTATTATATTACCTGTTCCGGTCTGGATAACATACTTTTTTTTTTCAAGTATCAATTATATACTTTTTCGTTTTACTTACACCACTGAGGTGTACGTAACGTATTTTTGTATTTTATATATACACGGTTGTATTTGATACGTAACGTATTTTTGTATTTTATATACACTGTTGTATTTGATACATAACGTATTTTTGTATTTTATATACACTGTTGTATTTGATACATAACGTATTTTTGTATTTTATATACACTGTTTATTTGATACATAACGTATTTTTGTATTTTATATACACTGTTGTATTTGATACATAATGTATTTTTGTATTTTACATACACTGTTGTATTTGATACATAACGTATTTTTGTATTTTATATACACTGTTTATTTGATACATAACGTATTTTTGTATTTTATATACACTGTTGTATTTGATACATAACGTATTTTTGTATTTTACATACACTGTTATATTTGATACATAACGTATTTTTGTATTTTACATACACTGTTATATTTGATACATAATGTACTTTTGCGTTTTACATACACTGTTGTATTTGGTGTATATCGTACTGTTTCTGTTTGTGTTGAGAAAGACAAAAAAGTCCAATAATACGTTCTTTTCCTTAACAAACGGTTCGAATCCCATCATCAAACATGCCCACCCTTTCAGCCGTGGGGGTGTTATAATGTGACTTATCAATCCCATTATTCTTTGGTAAAGAGTAGCCCAAGAATTGGCGGTGGGTGGTGTTGACTAGCTGCCTTCTCTTTAGTCTATCACTCTAAAATTAGGGACGGCTAGCGCAGAT